GGGATATTGTATTTAGAATACATCAAAAAGTAAAAGTATTTCCTTTTTCTGGAAAGAATGTTAACTTTGTTGACGTTAATGCTTTTAAAAGCAGAAACATTGGTGGTAACACATTATGTCAAGTTTACATGCTTTGTTTAATTCCTTAAAACTGGTCTTCATTAAAATTAGGAATTAGGTGATTTTTTTTTTTTTTTTTTGTCAATGATCAGTTTTAAAGTTTGTTAAGCTACCCCTGAAAAAAGAAAAGGAATAAAAGAGCAAGAACGTGTGTGTGTGCAAGAGAGAAATATGAAAAGCTGTTACAATTTTAAGAGACAGATGTAATCTAAGTAAGCAGATATGGTTCAATGTATAATTCATAGAAAAAAGAGGGAATTTTCATTGTTCACGCCTCAAAGAGTTCTCTGTCATTGCCCGAAACACAACTGACAATAGTTGAAGTTTCTGCTTGGCTCTTCAATAAACCTGTGCAAAAATGAAAATGCACAGAACTCCATTTGTCTGGACAGAGCTCCGTAGCCTGTGACACCTGTTGGGAAGACCAACAAATAAATTCAGACCAGCACCAGTCTTTAGGGATCAGCTGCTCTCTGGGTTTTACCTTTTTAATTTACCAGATAATGGATTCCCAATTCAATCCTATTCTCAGGCATTTCCTGCCTTCTCTTCCATTGTTTGGAGTCCTGGTGTGGCACTGTAGGATAAGCACTGAATTGCTAACCTTGAAGTTAGTGGTTCAAACTCACCAGCTGCTCCTCAGAAACCTTATACAGAGTCACTATGAGTTGGAACCAACTCAACTTGCACTATTGGGGACCTGCCAAAGTCATTTTGCCTTCTGCATGTTAGCACTGAAAGGGTCCTTGAATCTTTTAGCCTCATCTTACAAAAAAGGAAATAGGTTCCCAAAGCTTGAGTGATTTGCTCAAGGTTATTTATCTAATTCCTTTCAGAGTTGAGTCTCTTGGGTGAGTAATTGTCCAGTATTATTTCTTGACATGATATGGCCCCCATTTTTTAATGCACTCTAATCTAAACTGCTTACATTCTCCTTGTCTGCCGTTGATTTAGCTGTCTTGGTGACCACTGCTAAGGTGACAGCAGCCATCTCTCATGCATAGTCACTCTTGTGTCCAGTTGTGTGTCAGGCACTCTGCTAAGTACTTGATGCACATTGTCTTGCCTCTTACAACAACCCTGCAAGGTAATGGCATTGTTGCTTTATCATTCTGAAGGTGGAGGGAGTGAGGCTAAGAGCATACTACTGAGGCATCGGAAATTTGATCATCACTCAGCTCTAAAGTTCATGAACTTGATCACTCTTTTAGCCTGCTGATCATTTTTCATAACTTTGTATATTCCTTTAGCTTTTACAGAATCTTTTCTATTTATCTCACTTTGTTCCATTCTTCGCAATTATTTATTTTTCACGTTTTTATCTTCTGGTGAAACTAAACTTTGCTTTCTTTTCCTTCATTGTCAACTTTTAATAAAGTGATCTAATAATATTTGACTCGTGTTACTTCAGTAAGCTTAACTCTCACAAAATTGTTAGCTAGAAAAAAATAACCACAAAAAAATAAAATTCAAAATATGCCATCTTTTCAACTATGGGAGTAACCTTCTGTAATTTGTAAAATATGTTCAGTGATTTTGTGTCTCAGAAAGTGTAGAGGAGAATTGTATAGAAAGTGATTTATGATGTTGAATATAACATCAGCATTCAATAAGCATAATTATAAACTTTAAAAATCTCTAGTTGAGAATATTGTGGTCTTTAAAATTCAGAGGCACCGAGTTAGACTAGATGTTTTAAATTAAACTATATTTGAATCAGTTAATAAGATACTTTACCTCCTAGGTACTTTTTACATAAATTAGAAAAAATAATATCTGTAAGTATAGTCATTTTAGAAAGAGGAAATGGATAGTAGTTTCAGAAAGTGTATTTTGAAATTGTATTCAGGAAAGCCTTTTCAGCCTTGAGAAACAGAATGACATCTCAGAAAGAAACATAACAATATTAATTTGTCTTTGTTGTGGCTATAGATTCTATACCAATGTGTAGGGAAAGAGTACTGGCTAGCTAGCAAAGCATACTCAAGTTTTTGTTTTGAAAGAAAACCAATTTATATCCTTTAACCTGTTCTCTAGGATGACAGAGGAGTATCACCAATTGATCTCATTAGAATTTATTCTCATTTATTT